CTCTAGTCGGTTTCGACCGGTTCATTCTTTATTTATTTACTCTACTTGTTTATTTATCTATATTATAATTATTTTCTCCCCAAAACGACGATATATGTTATGTAATAAGAAATTCTATTTTTTTATTGATTGAAATATTTCTGAAACTTGAACTAGAATCAAACTTAAACAACTGAGCAAAATGCTGCTCGGATCTTTCTCTGAAAAAAAAAATGCATTGTTTTGAAGGGAAATAAGTTATCTTTCTTTCAGTAAAACAACCATGTCAACAAATTCAAATTTCATTTTATCCATGTTTTCTCGGGAAATATATTCAAAATTTTATGTGGTATTGTCACGACTTACAAAAATGCAAAAATAAAAAAAAAAACTTCTTGAAAGATATAGTGTAAAGAAGTATTTTTAAGACTGCAGCTTAATTGGCTTCTATTTTTCTACTTTTTTTTGTTCTAACTCTCGGTCTCCGCGGTCTCCCAGAATGCTTGAACGAGCTTTTGAAAATTGACTTTGTTTGATTAAATAAACACCAGGGTGATCTGCGAACGGACTATATAATTCCCTGGGGTACTTCTGATAATAATCTGTCTCCGTCTCCGGGGGAACTCCTCTATTGAAGTTTCTGATAGGATCATACAATTATGTAGATTAGCTGCATAGATAATTAACGTTATTGTCTGCAAATAGGAGAGAGATTTTATCCCCAGTCTTTACCCTGACCAGGGTAATGCATATATGGGAGATAGGGTAAAGGATTTACAGTCAAACCAGGTGAAGCGTTCCCGTCGCTAACGAACTAATAAATTCATTAACGGAAAAATGATTTCGTTTGTTGATTCAATAATCCATTCTTAAAATGAACAATCCAATATTCATATTTAGCCTCGATTCCATAATCGAATGTTGATTCGATTACTGTTTTTAGAAAAACTACACTTTTTTTTCTCCTTTTTTTCTTAGAGTCGAGTTCGGGCGAGTTCTGAATTTCAAACCCATACAAACTGTTACATGTACGTCATTTTGTTTCCAGTATTCACTGCAACGGACCTGACCTCTTAGGAAACACGATAGTGAAACTAAGGTCAGTGTATGTGCGGTGATTGGTGGATTTCGATCCCCGGCCTTTGTCAGTTTCTTTGTGTTTGCGGTCTGTCTCTTCTAGCTGTTATTTTGATTAAAGGCAATTACAAACGCAGTCGTAAACGGCAGGAAAAGTGAAGCAAAGACGATTGAACTCAATAGACAAGAATAAAGAACAGGTAGATTTTGTTAATAAACCAAATCAACATTTAATTATTGAATCGAGGTCCAATTTGATTGTTGGATTATTTATTTTATGAATGGATTATTGAATCAACAAACGAAATCATATTTCCATTAATGAATTCATTAGTTTACTAGTGACGGGAACGCTTGACCTGGTTTGACTGTAAGGAATTATGCATCGTGGCATCACCGCCATTTTCCGGTAGGCTTTGATAGATTGGACTAGCATAATTTTTGCCACAGTTAGTCACCACGAGCATAATTTTCACCTATTTTTCAAAAAAAAGCACTGCTAGCATAATTCGAACTTTTTGGTATAATTTTGCAGTACAAAAGTTGTCATTTATTGAACATGCAGCCAATGTTTTTGGTCCGAGATCTGTGTTACAGGCAAATTTAAGTAACGAAATCATTTATTTGTCTGTTTATTGTCACATTCATGGGACCTGGGTCTAACAGAAAGTGACTCAGGACTCTCTCCACAAGACTAAACGTGCGGACATAACAGGCTCGGTTACCTGGGGTGGCGTCCGCGTGTTGGTTGTTTATTGTTTGAGTTTTTATACTTGCCAGACAATGAATTAAGGATTCTTAAAGTTTCTTGGTGTAAACAGGGTAAATGAGTTTGCCATTTACTTGTACATTATGAAGCATTGAAGTGTTTTTTTTTTCTAACAAATTTGAAGTAAAAAGTGAGAAGCATAATTTCTGCATTTTGTTTGCTAAAACGAACTTAATTTACAAAAACTAGCAGAATTATTGGCATAATTTTAGAAATATACGAGCACTGCAAGTAGCATATCATGCTACCTTTGCGAGCACAGTCTATCAGAGCCTATTTTCCAGGGTACCTCTTTCCTCCCCTCCCCTCCCCTCCCCTCCCGCTAAATCGTGATTATTAAATTTTGCGTACATTACTCTTTAGCACCCAAGAAATAAATTCAGTGACATGCTATGAACCATGATTATTTTGTTTTCAACAGATTGGAAGATGGCAGGCTTGAAAACATTAATCATTATTTTCGTTATCATGTTCCCAGTCGCGATGATAACAGAGGAAGATGTAAATCATGGAGGTAACAACTAACAACTACGACATCACTAATAAAATTAATTGCGCACCTGCGGATTGTCGCCATTCTATTTCAGCGTCCTGTCTACCCTGCTTCATGTACAGAAAGCCGCTTAAAATTTTCATTTTTACACTTTACCTAAAACATCATTCCGAGGATTTATT